GAAACTGTTCAGCTTCTTCTCTTAATGCTCATATGTTGTCTATGTTTCACTGCTGCACTTGAAGATTCTGAGCACACGGGTTTTATGTACAAGCATCTTAGTTTTGTGGTGAACTTTGAGTTGTTCAGACTTGTTGTATTAGTCTGCTGAAAGTGGTAGCAGCATTTCCAATGCAAAAATTTAGCTAATCTTCAAGTGAAAGATTATCACTTAGTGCTGACCCAAGGTAGTTGAGCTTCTTGACATCTATAAGGGTGTCATCCACAATATAACTGTTGGTTCCTGAGGAACGTCTTGTCTCTTCACAACTGTCTTCTGGATGCTAATAGTGAGAGAAAATATCTTGCATGTATACGTGAAGTAGTCCATGACTTTTTATAGCAGATTTTCAAGATAGGCAGTAAGGACAGCATCATCAGCAAAGAGAAGCTCCCTGATCAAAACTTGTCTAACTTTAGTCTTGGCCTTCAGTTGTGACAGATTGTAGAGCTTGCCATCAGATCTCATATGAAGGTATACACCATCTTCCACGTATTCAAGAGCATAGTTCAGTAGTACTGAGAAGATCTCAAAGAGTAAGGCACAAGAGCACATCTTTACTTCATTCCACTTTTCATCTCAAAACTATCCCAAATAGATTAATTGAACTGAAATTTAACTTACATGTTCTCATGGAAGGAACGTATCAAGTTAAGCAGTGTTGAGGGGCACTAAATCTTCTCAAGGAGTTTGAATACAATTGCCCTGCTCATGGTGTCAAATGGCCTGGTCAAGTTAACAAAGAGGGCATACAGTAGCTTGTTCTGCTTTATGCACTTTTTTTGTAGGTGTCATAATGCAAATGTCATATCCACTGTTTATCTTCCAGGTCTGAATCCACAATGAGCTTCTGGGTACAGACAACTGACAAGTTGTAGTCACATCAGGATGACTCTGGCAAATGCTTTTCCTGTGATGCTGAGTAGCAAGATGCATGTGTAGTTGTTGCAGCCATCCTTGTCTCCTATTTTTGTAACTCCTTTAAACTGGCTTAACCAGGAACCAGAGAAGGAGACCAATGAGTCAGAGGAGTATGAGAGCACTGTGGTATCTTACTCAAGTCAAAAAGGTAAAAAGGCAAGAACTGAGAGTAATTCTCTGGCTATTCACAGCCAACCAGATGAGGAAGTGAAAGACCTGGAGGCATAGGTGTAATTTATGGGGAACATGTTCCACACATCTTTAAAAAGACAGGGATATATTATTTTTTAGCTTAACACTTTTTCTCTCAATTATTTTTACATAAAATTAGCTGTTACAACAAATGAACATGCAGAAAACTCACATAACATTGTAGCTGTTTTAGTCTGGGCACAGCTTGCATGGAGTGTTTGAAACACAGACAGTCAGCTGGTCACTGGCAGCTAATGAAGGAGAAGCAAGCATCATCTGTCTAGTGAGCTAAATATATGGTTTTGAAATACCAGTAAAGTTTAAAAAATTATGTCCATTACTTTACTGCTGTAAATCTTAATAACTGTGTGGACAAGAGGATCTAATCGTAATAAGTGGTTGTCTATACTATTAGTGTAAAACAACAAATTATGGACATTTTCTAAAACTGATTAGAAACTCACCATAGGAACCAAATTATGGTTTTTTGGAAAGAAATTTTTGTATTTTTATTTTTGTTTATTTTTTAAGGCAACAGTGCTATCTCATCTTAGTTTTGGTTTTGAGTTTGTTGTCCCACAATTTGATGTGGTTAGAACCTGTTTACAGTCAGGAAGTAAATACAGTTTTTGACCATTAAGACATAAAGGTATAAATTTAAGATGTTATTGTCGAAAGCATATTGTTCAATTTGTTGTAAAAATGATTTTCATGTGTTTGATTACTGTGGATCTAAGTAAGTAAACTTACTATTCTTTCTTGAACTTTGAATAGCATTATGCCTGGAATTATATATATATATACATATATATATATATATAATCTCAATGTTTTGGAACAAATATGTGAAGCACAATAAAAGGATAAGTTGAAATGTATATGCAACTAGGAACTCAGACAAGCCAAGAAGTTAAGGAATTTGTGAAATTGTTTAGTACTAAGACTAAACAGTTAACAAGCTCTTACACTCACAGATGCTGTAAATCTTCATGATGTTAATGTAAGAGTTAGTACAGTAACACCTGATGTTTATTTTTGATTTTGTTGAGTTAAAAACTTGATATTCCCCAAAAGGACCCTTTATTTATTTGAATTTTTTTCATTTCTGTACAAAAACTGTAGGTTTGAGTGGCAATGTGTTGCAATATTCAGTGAGCATTGATGGAAAACAAGATATGTCTAGCACTGAACAAGAGTCAATCTGCTCCCGTTATGTGGATCAGGATCGGATGCCACAAGAAGTATTTGTAGGTCTCTATGAAACATCTTCAACAACAGGAGAAAGAATACCCAATGTGCCTCAATCTACCACTTTCTGGTCTTTGTGGGCAAACATACAGAGGTGCTGCAAATATTTCAGGCTAATACTCTGGTGAACAGGCTTTTCTTAGAAAAGAACAGCCACGAGCTATTCATTTTGGTCCTCAGTGTGGAAATCTCATCATTGAGGCAGCTTGTATAGCCTCTCCTATGATTCGAGATTCTTTGCAGTGATTTCACAAGTTTGGATGCTTGTTTGGACATTTAGAGAAATTCAAGGTAATGTTTGAGCAGTAGCAAAGCCTGAGAGTAGATCCTACACTATTATGAAACCACTGTGCCACACAAGGTGGACTGTTTGTACCACAGCCATTCAGTCAGTGCTCAACTAGTAAGAACCAATATTACTTAGTTTGGACGAGATGGCTTCATCTAGTGCATTACATTCAGCAACTAAAGCAAATGGACTTCTGGAAAGATTTTAGAAGGAGAAAATTGTCCTCTGGTTAATCCTAGCCATTGAAGTGATGGAGGAATTGGAGTACCTGAACATCTCTTTGCAAAAGATAACACAAACCATTGCTGGAATGATTGCTGCTGTAGAGTGTGTCAAAACCTCTCTTCAAGAAAAAACAACAGAGAAAAGTTTTAGCAAAGCATATGATAAAGCAACAGGATTAATCAACTCCTTGAACATCCAGCTAATTCAAATGCCACAAATGAGAGAATAACCCACGCAATTTACTGGCAAGGCTGTTGCACATTCACCAGCATCTCCTTTGGAGTACTACAGAGCTGAGTGCTACTAGATACTGTAGATGTGCAGTTCTGAGAGATTTTTGAACACAGAGGCTTACAGACTTACGAAAAATTGGAGAAAGAGACTGACACTGTTATGGACCTATACCCAGAGTTGTCCAGGAAAACATTACATGTTCAGTTAGCCATGTTCATCTCAAGATACATCTACAATTTCAGCACTGAAGCTGCAAAAACCTTGAGGGAAATGCTGCGTGAGATCATGAGCTTTCCCCTCAGGTTTAGGCTCTTGTAAGGTTACTGTTAATTGTCCCTACCTCCTCTGATGAAACTGAGAGGAGCTTCATTGCTCTTAAAAGGCTGAAGACCCAACTTCATAATTCTATGAAATAGAGTCACCTGAACAACGTAGCCATTTGCCATATTTATCAAGAACTTAATCACTTGGAAACAAAAACACTGCCAGCAATATATTAATGCAAATGACCAGTGCAGAAATGTTTTTGGATCTTTTCTTTAGAAAAATAAGGGAGTTCTTGTTATCTTCTGGTTGTCAAGGGCAATTTGAAAGTTAACTATACAATAGGTTAAGCTATGGCAAAAGAAAACAAGAAGCCTTGTCAGAATTGCATTGTAATGCATTTCCTTTTAAAGGCAAGTACTACAATGGTCATGGTTATTTTATTTATTTACCAAAACAGTAATTTTCATAACAAAGGGACCATTCTTAATAATGCCATACTGTGAAAATCCAGGTCACAAAATTAATATTTGTGTAAGTTGTAAAAAATGAGGAATTAATACATAGAAATTCCACCAACTGCAACACCCAAGATGTACACCATAACAGATGTACAGATAATATATTAAACATATTTTACACAATGTTTATTTTTATTCAAATACTAAATACTAATAGTAACACAGTTTCATTCCTGCTGTTTTTCAAAGGCATTTTAACTGGTTAACATTTCAACTAAAGTTTATAATGTATCAGTCATTATATTAGCAATTTGATTTATTTAATTTTTCTAGACTTACCATAAGTATTACTGATATAAATATTATTACTGATTCATAAGACTGATACCTAAATATTGTGCAAAGTGTAATATGGAAAACTGGTTCTGTTTAAAGTATGCAACTAGATCTTTGAAAGTTTTAAAAAATTTTAAATGTTGATATAACTGCTATTCAGGAATGTTTTCATTAATATAAGATAAAAAGCAATACAGAGAAGGACCCCTTTTTTTCTTTTTTAGAGAATAACTTCTTTTATACCTCAGTTTCATGGAATGTCCTCCTTTCCCCCCACCTTTAAAACAAAAGTGTCACCCCTGCCTTGAGGTGAGAGATAGTTCTGACAGTTGGTTTAGCAGCTGCCGCTGAACACCCAATCAAAATGGCTCAGATTAAACATGATTATTGAACAGCTTGGATGATCATGTGATTGAGAAATCAATGCCTGAAAGGAAGTAGCTATCCTTATTTTCCAAGCTATCGGGTGATGTTCACTGTACAATGTATGCACTAGACTGTGTAATTTCCACTTGCTTATGATGAAGATGGGATGGCAGGAGCCATTAGATATAATGTATAGTACATTACCAGTTTGTACAATTGAAGATAATAGTTGTCCAAGCAATCAAGCAGAGTTTAACTTGGAGATATCCATAAGGTATTAGAGGATAGCTACTTGATTAACATAGTTTAGAACAACTGGTACCTGTAGATGTAATGTCTAGTGCATCAACATTTTGAACAACTGATGGTAACTAAGTGAGTTTCTGTCACAAAATGTTATCCAACATTTCACAAGAATCACTCACCTGATCTAGCAAATTGCTGAGAACTCTAAAGAGAATATTTCATGTTCCTTTCCAGATCTTTCCATGTTGTGAGTGTTAATGAAACCATCCAGAGCACTTTGTATTATTTTCACGTTTTGAGACTTTGCACATCAAGTCCATCTATATAAAAAAATATTGAAGTCTTTAAATTAACCAACAATATTTTTCAATCGATCACATTATTGAAATTATTTTTAGGTTTGTTTGTTTACGGGATTGCCAGATTATACTTACAAATAAGTAAATTGTAAAATTCTAACTATATATTCAGGTCACTCCAAACAATGGATCAAACCTTCTGATAAAACATTCACAACATTTACAGTTGCATTATAATCCTATGCCATCGCAATGCACAGTTTTACTTGTACAGGCTATGGTAACTGGCACAGACTAAAATGTCACTGACCATGATATCGCACTACAGTATTACACCACTGAAGTGTCAAGTTTTTTTATTGTTATTACATAATATTGACTATAAAAACTGTTGTTAAGTAAACCTTTTACTAAAAGTACTCCTACCTTTGTATTCTGGTATGGCCCTTGGATTTAGACACAATAACAAACACTAACATATTACTCATATTTGATCACACTAGCACCACACAATATCCATAATAATTACCATCTCAATCTCAAAAGCAAACTGTGGTCTGAAAGCCCACAGTTTTATAACAATACCAAAACTATTAACCTAATTCTGTCAAGCTCAATATGCTCATCTTTACCTTCAGCCTTTATTCCTTCCTGTCCCCAGCAAACAATAAAGTCTCCTAATATATTACCAAGATATCTGATGCATTAAATTACAAATTATTAATTATGTGTTCAGCCATTCGCTATCCCAAGTTCAGCTGTTTCTACAAAGATTCATGGATATTAAGTATCACAGCATTCATGGGACCATTACATTGTGACATATTATTATGTTATATATTTCAATAATTTTTTAATTACTTATTTTTCTAAAGCTAATCTCCAAACTAATTTCTTCCCTAACTTTTGCTGGTGATATTAAACCTGTCTCTCTGAGATATCACTTGTCAAAAACCCCTTCTCAAGTTTTACTGTACATCATGATGATTTTGTGCTATAGGCAATGCATAGCAATGTTTGTTTTATAATAAATAAAAACAAAATTACTGATCAATTATTATTTTATATTACTATTGTAGGTATTTTGATAATTAAATGAATAAACATAAGTACAAATATGAAATAAAATAAAAACTCACCAAACCTGTATAAATTTGTTCTATCTTTAAACTACAAGGCTTTACTGAAATAGTCAAACTATTCTTTTTTAGTTTTAACACCTTTCAAATCTTTCCTACACAAACATTTCAGTGACAAAATGTACCCAGGGTATTACTGTTCCATTTATGACTATTGACCTAAGGACTATTTTATCAATACTCTTAAATTTGTAAGACCAAATTAACTTGTCTAATGGAAACAGCCCATCTCCAAATAGCAATATGCTAAGGACATTCAGAAAGTAATAAACTGATCCTTCATAATGTTTAGGAAAATGAGATGATGCCTTGCCCAGAGCCCTTACACTCTATTTAGGATGGAACCTAAAGATTGTTTGTGTAATCAATTACAAGTTCCTTCATCCTTCATAATGTTTAGGAAAATGAGATGATGCCTTGCCCAGAGCCCTTACACTCTATTTAGGATGGAACCTAAAGATTGTTTGTGTAATCTATTACAAGTTCCTTCATACTCCATGGAAATTAATGGTAAATAAAAAGATCAATGTAGACAAAACAATGTTTATGCATAAAATACATAAACTGAAATACTGAATTTGCCAGAATTAACCTGTTTGTAATTTTTTGGCACTAATGATAATTAATTTTTTTTGCCATTTGTGTCCTAGAAGCATGACCAAAATCTCATAAAATTCCCTGATATTTCCCAGACCGAGAACACAAAATATAAAATTCACTGACCTTTCCCAGTTTCTCTGACCCATGGAAACCACGTCTTTCTTCATACACTTAAATGTGCAAGTTCTCCATGTGCAGTGATGGAATTGTAATTCCTCTAAATGTATATTAACATATATTGTGGTAAGAGTGAGAATATTAATCCTGACTTAGGAGAAGTTTAGCTGAAAAGTCTTAAGTTTTGCTGAAGTTTGCCAGTGATAATATATTTTGTGATGCCTGAAAAGAAAAATGTGTTTAGTGTGATGCCTCATGTATTGCAGCACATTATGGGACTGCAGCTCCCAAGTTATAGCTTCAGAAGTCAACCTGAGATTACTAATATAATTTGCATGGGAGCTTAAGGCAATCTGTTTTAAGCCACTAGTGTATGAAATCACTGGTAATTGTAACATATGTATAGGGCAATATGCATGTATGAATAAATGTATGTAGTCTTACACACATGCAAAGTCATTGATGATTGTTGTGTAACATGTATGGATCAATTACACAAAGAACACAACCAAAGAGCAACACACAAACAGAAATAAGGAATTTATGATCTGGAAAATTCATGTAGTGAGTAGAAGGTGAGTATGGTATACATACAAGAGAAATAGTGAATTAATTATTAATTAATAAGCAGTTAAGTATACAGGAAGTTTAACAGTTTAGTGTTAGTACTGAGATTTATTGCACCTATTCCGCTATTCAGTTACTCAGTGAATCACATGTTTATCACAGCTAATTTAGTTATACATACATCTTATAGTTTATACTGCAACCTTACCTTTGAAGCTAGGTCTACATTTAGTTGAAGAGTTTATGTTGAAAAGTCTATTTATGAAATTAGGCCTACATGTGAAAATGGATATGACAAACAAATAATCCAAAAGAACCTGCCCAATGATAGTACACATTACAACTGTATATATGAATTTATTTTATACTTTATTATTTTCAACTTACCATATTCATTATGTTAAGAATAATCCAACTAGATGCAGTACAAACATGATACATATAATCTTATATGCTTGACAGTGCTTAGACATGCATGTACAAAACCAATTCCACCTTAAAAGCTGAGATGTAAAATGATTATGCATAAGCAAAATAATGCAACCTTACATACATTTTAATGCAGTTTGATGTTTCTATGGCTTTTCTATTTCAAAGCTTTTTCCATTTCTTGCTCACAAATGAATAAAAAAACTTGAAACTTTCATAATACCAATAGAGTAACATACAGAGACTATACAACCAATAAATCAATGCATTCTAATCATTGCAAGTTTTTGCTTTATTGCTGGGTACACCTATTAAGAATGATATTGTTGCGTATCTGCTTGTTTGTTAATTTCCGATAAAATTCTTTCCGAGAAACTTCAGCAATACAAGTCCTTTCTTCGTTAAACCACTTTATTCTTCATCGATACAAACTTTTAGCACACAGTAATTTCACAATCAATACATTTCTCATCACTTTAAACTTAACTACTTTTATAATACATGCTATAAATTACAACGATTCACAATCTCGAAAACACACACACTAGCTCAAAACAGAATTGTAAATTACCCGGAACTCTCATCATTCAATTCCGCAGGGTTTCTCTGCCAGGCTTATATACTAACAAAGAGGCTTTGACAAAGATCGAGGAGTTCCCTGATAACTCGAGAAACTCGTTCACCCATGCGCTACCAGCACCAACAGTGTCACGTGAATTCCGCTGTCGTAACAGTATATTAAATTAGCTTTATTAGTTACAACCTTTACAGTTAATCTTTAATTCTGATCTACATAAGTAGCTTGCTTTGATGACAAGTTTATGATAGAAATTATCTTTTCAAATTTAAAAGACACAAAACATTACAGAATAATCATTCAGTTATCAGTAGTAAAAAGTTGTATTTTTTTTTCATATAGTTATAATTAGAAATGTCAGGTACAGTTTAATCTTCTAGACTTGTACATTAAAGCTCTAAATACTTCTCTTAATTCTACTATGGAAATCATACACAAATATTAATTCCAATGAAAAAAACACCCTAGCTAACTATTAAACATTCTTTGTTTTAAAAAAATAATAAGTTTGTAAATGAAAATATCAACTAATATCGAATACATTTAACTGCTTTACTACTCTCCTGAAATATCTTCAATAGCTTAATACAGTTCTAGCAACTTAGCTATGAATCATTTACCTTCTATTTCCTCACTGTGAAAATATCCAAAATAATTAGTAATTAAAATATTATTTTATGTTTCACACACCACCAATATCTTTATAAATATTAACCATAGCTTATGTTTTCATAATTTATAAATCTGAAGTCTATGATTGGTTGGTTGGTTGGTTGGTGCTTTATAGCGCAAAGCAGCAAGGCTATCTGCGCCAAAAAACCAGTAAAAACAATGAAAGTAAATTAAAGTAAAATGTAAAAATACAGCGAGTTAAAACCAATACATGTCGCTAAAAGATTTATATAGAATTAAAAATACCTATAGTGTGTAAAAAATTAAAAATACAATCTAATCGGACAGTGTCACCATTACCAGTGACACTGTCCAGCATCAGGGGTAAACTTTTAAAACAAATGTGTCTAAAATGGTGCCACCGCTCACGGTCATAACGACGGCACAACAGTAAAATGTGGGCTATTGTGATTTGAGTGTTATAATGGCTTCACATCGGTGGGTCAATACCTGATAAAAGAAAACGATGGGTTAAAAAACTATGACCAATGCATAGCGTTGCCAGGACTACTTCCTCCTTACGGAAGCAAGACAGCCAAAGACCAAAAGAAGGTTTGATCTGGAAAAGCTTATTATGCCATTGCTCACTCCCAGTCGACTGCCAACTGGCATGAAGCCATGCCTTGAAGACAGAACCGTAGTCCATGTATGGGACAGGCACGGCTGTGATGGCACCAGAGCAGATGGACTTAGCTGCGGTGTCAGCGAGCTCATTCCCGTGAATACCGACGTGGCCAGGGATCCAGAAAAACTGGATGGAAATAGAAGATAGCGAAAAGTGGGCCAATCGGTGTTGAATATCGGTGAGAACTAATGTTAAGAGATTTCAGGGCCAGTAGAGAGCTAAGAGAATCAGTGTAAATAGTACAATTACTGTACTGCATAGCTTCTACATGATCCAGGGCAAGAGAAATAGCATACAACTCGGTAGTGAACACAGAAACTGTAAAGGGAATCCTGCGAGCAACTACCGAGCCACAGCAAACCATGGCAGAACCTACAGAGTCACCCGATTTCGAATCATCCGTGTAAATGGGAAGAGAAGAATGGCTCAAAAGTTGTTCAGCAAAAAGAAGACGGTACTTCCAATCGGGAGTATCCGCCTTCCCCAGATGACTCAAGGAAAGGTCAGAGGATGGAATGGTAATAAGCCATGGTGGAATGGGCTGATCATTGGGGACAGCAATATCATCCAATGCCAGACCCAATTCAGCCAGTAGTGCCCGGATACGAAGGCCAAACGGAGGAATAGCAGATCGTCTGTTTTGAAAGAGCATTGCCCACCGAGGAAGAAAAACACAATCCCAGGTGGGATGCTGTGGTAAAGATCGAAGCTTAGTAGCATATTGTAAAGAAAGTTGCAAACGACGGAGGTGAAGAGAAGGTTCGTGGGACTCAGTGTACAAACTCTGGACTGGAGAAGTGCGAAAAGCACCGGTGCAGAGCCGAAGCCCCAGATGGTGAATGGGGTCCAGCATTTTCAGGGCCGAGGTCCTGGCAGAACCATAGACCAAAGACCCATAGTCCAGTTTGGATCAAATCAGAGCATGATAGATCCTGAGCATAGAACATCGATCCGCTCCCCAAGAGCTGGAAGAGAGGACACGGAGGATGTTCAGAGCCCTTGCACACTTGACACATAGCTACTCGATGTGTGGAATGAAGCTAAGCTTACGGTCAAATATAACCCCCAAGAACTTTGCCTCAGGGACCACACGAATAACTATATCGCCGAGATGGAGCTCGGGATCGGGGTTGAGACCCCGTTGGCGGCAAAAATACATGCAAACGGTTTTGGAAAAAGAAAATTTAAAACCATTTGCAGTGGTCCATGTCAACAACCGATTAAAGGCAGTCTGAAGCTGGTGCTCAATAAACCTCATGTTCGAGGACTTCCACATTTCGTGTCAGTCGTCAACATAGAGC